AGCTTCGGTTCGGCCGAAGCCAGGTCAATTTTTTGCCGAATCTTTGGCTTCGGCAAAAAATTTTAAGTAATTAAAGTTATAAGCTACTGTGGGACAAGTTATAAAAATAAGCTAATTATAAAAATTTACAAATTTTAATCGTAAATTTACAGAAAATAGTTAGGTGTCACTTATATAGATACAAAATAGTCAATGGAGTGACACATAAAAAACAAAAAGTTCTCAACAACAAAAAAGGAAGAAAAGCAAATGAAATATAAACGAGGAGAATAAAAAAAGAAAAAAAAAAGCCAACAAAAACTAGATAAATTAAAAGAAAAAGAAAAACAATGATAATAACTATCCTTGCTCTTTTATTATTATTATGAATACTTCTAAATTGAATTTATATATTAAAAATATAAACCAATATTCTGGTTTCTTCTTATGATATTATGAAGACTTTTAAATTTTATTTAAAATAAATTAAAGGTTGAAGCTTTGATTACTTTGAACTCTTATATTTATCATCAAAATTTATTTAAATTAAATAAACAATTTAAATCAAATAAATATCAGCCTGCTCAGTCCCTGTTTATTTATAAATATAAAGTAAATAATAATATAATTATAAATAAAAAATTTATAAAGTATTTTATTTACTATTTTATTTAAAGCTCACTTTACAGAGTTGTTAGATTACTTTGGAAGTTTTTATCACAGATAGTTATTATTTGATTTCAGATGCAGATTTATCCATTATAGAGACAGAAGAAGAACGAATACTAAGATTTTAAAGTATAAAAGATTAAAAAAAGCTATAGAAAATGTTATGTAGTGTTAAGTTGAAAATAATCAAAAAAAAATACTTAAAAGTGTGTAAAAAAGAAGTTAGAGAGAAATCTATCATTTGTACTTTTTTTTAACAGCAGGAGCACAACAGTTGTAGTGGAATCCAAAATGGTTTTAACTTGGGTTTTTTTAGTTTAGAAATTGTTCGTTTAAAGAATACAGAGAAGTAAAAAAAAAGATATTGAAATAAATTGCAATAAAAAGATAAAGTGTGTTTCTAAGATTTTTTATGTTGTAGATACAACTAGATCAGTTAAGAGTGTTTATTTAAAGAAAGAGTGATCAAGTGCAAAAGATAAATTTACTCTAGTAATGTTCAGAGATTTTTATCCACTTCCATTTAACAAAAGGTGCATTAAAAATAAAAATAAAATATACAGCACATGAAAAAATGCTATATAACATTAATATGGTTTGCAGACAGAAAAAGTAGAACTAGAAGTAAGAAAATTTGGGGAGAATGTTTCAAAAAAGCTAAAGTTTAAAAAAAAAAAAGCTCGATGCGGTCAAGTATCAGAAACGACATAATGAGAAACTTTTAAACAGGGGCGCTGAGAGCTTTTGCCCTGCCTTGAACAGCAACCCTGACTGGCGTCCTCATTTTTATACAATTTTTCTATATTATTAGTCAAGGACCTTAGTTTTGGTACCTTTTTTGTTTTACACCCCTGCTGATCTGAATGCTGATTAAATTTTAGGCATATATAGTGCCGAAGCTTCGGCTTCGGCCGAAGCTTCGGTTTCGGCAAAGTGGCTTCGGCCAAAGCTTCGGCTTCGGCAAAATTTCAGCTTCGGTACATCCCTATTATTATTTGATTAAACTGTTATTTTGTGTTTTAGTAAAAATGCTGAAAAAAATCTTTTCCAACAGCAGTGGTATTAAAGGCAACAAACCATGTTATGATGGAAAAGAAACATAGATTCGAGCATCAGCAAAAATTATGGAATCCACTACTCAACTCATTACATAAATAAAGTAAAAAAAAAAACTCTTGACACCTATTCCTGGTTATAAAAAGTCATGCTAAGTTTACAATTTTGAACAAGAAAAGCTATATACCAATAGCTTTTGATATTTATTTTAGATTATTATGAAGCACGAAAGCTTGCATTTGAATGTGTTTAAAAGTATAACATTAATTTTCCAAAATTGTGGTTAAAACTTTTAATACCCAGTTCTGACTGGATGAGAGGGTTTTTAAATCATTTTTAAGACATTCAGGATTGTTTATCAGAACTCCAAAAGCAACAAGTATTGTATGAGCAACTAGTTTTAATCGTGCTAATGTAGGTAGTTTTTTTTTTATATTATCTGATGTTTTAGACATCATTTTTCTGCATCTAATATTTACATTGTTGATGAGACTGGTATCACCACTGTGCAAAAACCGAACAAGATAATTGCACGTAAAGGTATTAAGCAAGTTGGAGCATTAACTTATCAAGAGAAAAGGACACTAGTGACAATGGTAAATGCATATGGCAATAGTGTGCCTATAATGTTTCTTTTTCTAAGAAAGAAATTCTTTGATCACTTTATTTGTGATGGACAAAATGCATTGGTGATTCGAATGGGTCAGGCTGGATGAATGAGAAATGCTTTGCTACCTACTTAAACCACTTTATTCTGCATATCAAGCCAACAAAAGAAAGCTCTGTGCTATTACTTTTAGACAACCATCAGTCTTATTTATCTATTCAATTAATAACTTTGTGTAAAAATAATGGTATAGTTTTGCTTTCCTTCTCTCCTTATTGATCACATAAGTTGCAACCTCTATTCAAAAAATGCGTAGCTAATGCTCATGGATGAAAATTTGGCATGGAAAAACAATGAGTATAAATGATTTGCCAGGAATTGCAAAAATAGCCTTACACCATTTTCTTACACAACAAAACATAACTTCTGGTTTTAGAGTTGCCGAATATTCACATATGATAAGGATATATTTTCAGATGCAGATTTTGCTCTATCATTTGCTACTGATCATCCAGCAACTCAATCTAAATCAGATATTAATACTAGTATATCAACTTTAACTTCAGACACAATTCCATCTACGGTATCATTAGAATTATTTTAAGACCTCTACCAAAAGCACAACCTAGGAGAAAAATACTCACTTGAGCAAAGATACTCTAGTAAAACAACAACTTATGGCTGAAAAAGAAATTGAAAGTTCTAGAAAGAAAAAATGTAATACTTTTACACCAACAAAAAAAAAACATTAAAGTTGATTTGAAATGTAACTAATTTACAAAACCAAAAATTGAAAGTGACAAAAATGTTGTAATTTTTTAAAGTATTTATACAAAATATGTTAGATACATCATATTATTATACATTTTTTAAATGACTTTTGCTTTAACTGACAAAAAAAAATCAAAGTAATGTTAAAATTTGGTAATTGGTAATTACCAAATTTTAACATTACTTTGGTAATTGCATGCTAAATCATGCTGATATAGCATGCAATGACCAAACTGCAAGTGGTGTTATTTGTTATTTTATGATAGATGGCTATGGCTAACATTCTTGTCATGTTTATTGTTAATAATGATTATTATTAGGTTTCATTATTGAAATTGAAATTTTTTATCATTTACTAAAAGCCAATACAAACTAATTACAGTTTTTGTTTCAAAATAATATATGGTTTTTCTTTTTTTTTTTTATAAATAAAAGACTGTGCATTTACTAAAAATATAGATACTTTAATGCATCTTGTAATGTGGTAAAAAAGTTTTATACTAATTTGTATTATTTTAAATAGCATCAATTTTTTTTTTATTTTAGATTGGCGTGGCGGCGAGGGTTTACACCCCTCACGCTAAGTTAATGTGTATACATTAATATATGTTGTAAAGAAGTGAATTATAATTTTTGTATTATATATTAGATTTACTCATTTTAATAAAAATAAAAATATTTATAACAATTGTCAATTTTTGATAAAAAGCAGTGTTAAATCTCATACCACCATCCACCCTTCCATCCATCATACTTTGACATGGCCTGAATGCAAATTATAAAAGTTTCTTGTATACAAAAATTACAAATTTTGATAAAATAAGCTCATTTTTCTTAAAAAATAAATTTTTTGACAGTATAGATGGTGGTTTAGTGCCCCCTCTAGCCCCTAAATATGCCATGCTGCTCAAAACTATTATAAATTTATAGCCCTCTCTTACACCTTTCTTTTGATACCAAGTTGTAGGCGTTTTGACATGAATTGACAAAGTTATAACAATTTATGCAAAGAAAAAGTTATTTTTGACCACAGTGTCTTCAACAAATTGGTATATCAAAAATTTGCTACTTAAAACCTTATAACTTTTTGTAGAATTTTACAATTTTGATAATTTTAAATAAGTAATAAATCAATTTAAAAACTTCATTTAACATACCTAAAGGTAATATTACACTATGTTAAAAATTTTATTTATAAAACAACTAAATAATTAATGACAACAATATAACATTATTGTTACCTATTGCTTATTTAGTTATTTGCTTAGTTATTATTTATAATAAATGTTTGAAGATAATGTTAAAATACATTTAAATAGTTTTATAAAAGTAAAGTTTTTTTTTTAGTAACAAATTAACTAAATAATTAATGTCAACAATATTTATTTTGACAGTATTTTAGAAACTTATTGCATGTAATAAGCCAAAATGGTTAATTGCAAATGTAACAATGTTACAACTGCAAACAAGAGTTAATAAATAGCTATATGCAAGTAACTAAAATAATGTATAAAATAGTTATAGGTAAATAACTAAAATAACAATGTAATATAATTTTAATAATGTTACAATTGCAATTAATAACCATTTTGGCTTATTACATGTAATAAGTTTGTAAAATACTGTCAAAACAAATTTTAATGTCATTAAATATTTCGTTAATTTGTTACTAAAAAAAAAACAAAAAATACTTTAGTTTTATAAAACCAACTAAATATATTTTAACATTATTCTTAAATACTATTTATTTTTACTTTACTTACTTTTAGTTTTAATTTAGTATTTTTATTATTGTTATTATTTACATCAATTATTGTTTACTAACTTATAAATTTTTTTCAATATTTTCTTTTAAATTGAAACATTTTAAAAAAATTGATAATAAGTTCAAAATAAAATTAAAATTTTAACCAAGCACCTGAAATTTCGCCAATATTGAATCCCTGTTCCAAGGATTTAGATCTTCCATTACTATTATAATATTAGCCGGGGCTAATATTAATTTTCAATATTTGGACGACGGAAACAACTTCATTTTAAAATCTTATACTGAAACTTATAACAAAACTGGTTAACGAAGTTAAATTCTGGTAAAAAAAAAACTTTATAAATCAAATTATTTTCATATATTTCTTTTATTTGTATCTAAATATTTTCATAGTAATCATATTTCGTCGCGGATATATAAATTTCAAGATATTTAAATATTAAAATATTATCTTGTTGGCTGATTACGGAGTAGATATTCGATTAAACTATAGTCATGAAATCTGTTATAATGACTATGATTAAACATTAATATTTATTTACAGATCCAGTAACTAAAAAGATTACAGGTGTGTGGCTAATATCCGGTAAATTTGCCGTGTCCGACTATTTCCGAATGTAAGAGAAATCTCCCGAGTGCCAGATACAAGATACCGTCACCATCGTCATTTGCTGCTAATTCCGTGTTAAAGCAACAACTAATATTCAAAAAAAGTAACCCCACTTGCTCTAAATTACTTAATTTTTGGAACTTAGACCTACGCTTAAAAAATTTCCAAAAGTTGAAATTTAGCTGAATGCTGAAGTTTAAAAATTACCCAGCTAGCACACTTACATCTGCTAATTCCGTGTTAAAGCAACAACTAATATTCAAAAAAAGTAACCCCACTTGCTCTAAATTACTTAATTTTTGGAACTTAGACCTACGCTTAAAAAATTTCCAAAAGTTGAAATTTAGCTGAATGCTGAAGTTTAAAAATTACCCAGCTAGCACACTAACATCGGGCCTCGGCGAACGACGGCTCTTTTTTCCAATGCAAAACTAACGTTGATCCAATGTCATTTGGTTAATGATAAAATTATTACCGACCGAATTAAAAACATCTGGCAAATTTACATTGGTCCAATGTATGTAAAAGCATCGCAAAAAGTTAAGTGTTTTTACGATCCTAAACCCAATGTTGATCTAATGTATATATTTCGACGTTAATTCAATGTATATAAGTCAACCTTTTTCCAATGTACGTAATAACATCGCAAAAATTTGATTTTTTTTACTATCTAAACCCAACGTTGATCCAATGTATATATTTCGACGTTGATTCAATGTGTATAAATCAACGTTGATCCAATGTATGTAAATACATCGCAAAAAGTTGATTGTTTTTACGAACTAAACCCAACGTTGATCCAATGTATGCGACCAAACATTGCTATCGCAAAATTATATAACTTAAACAAAATCTTCCGTAATTATTAAAATATCAAACCACAAACATGATAATTTTCCGATTATCAAGGGTTGACAATTCAAATAAGTAAAATAAATTTTAATAAAAATTTAATTCCAAATAAATCACAACACAAAAAAAAAAATTAATTCCAAATAATATTGAATACCCCAGCAGGCAACGTTGTATTTATGTTAAAATTGCGTTTTACGTTAATAAATGTTTATTAAAGGTTGAGTCAACGTAATTTTTTTTTAATTATAATTTTTCTTCTTTTAATCTCATTTTAAGCTTTAGAAGGTTGTGCAACTATTTTATATTGCTGTAACAGAATCAAAATTTATTGTTAAGTTTAGATTTTTTAATAATAAGAAGGAGTAATATGTCGAATATTTTACCTTAGATACGAGAAAATTACAAACGCATATCAAGTCAGTTAGAGTCTAATGCTCATGCAATTAAAGCTGCTATGATAACCCTAGACTTTTATGTATGTTTTAGCTGTCACTAGGGATGTTGTGATTAATCATTTTTGGAAATTTTCGATTAACGATTATTCGGTTTAAAAAAAAACGATTAATGTTATAGTAATTGATAACATAATATGTTTTATATCTAATTCGTAATACATTAAAAAAACGTTTCAGAAGTTTCAATATAAGTAAATTTAAATAAGATTTGTTATTTCATGTTCATTTTGTTTCTGTAAGAGATATGATCGAAGATAGCATAACAAATCAATTGTTTCATCGTTTAATTTAGTTCTCAATTTAGTTACAAAAAGTCCTGCCGCACTAAAACATCTTTCAGCTTCGACCGACGATGGTGGAATAGGTAACAAAGCATTGTACATTTGTTCAAATAAATGACTTCCACTTCTTTTGTTATTTTTTTCAAAAATTTTCTTTTTTAATAGATGAAACTACTAAAAATTTACTACAGTTGAAAGATTGGTGTTTTTTTTTGACAAAATGCGATTCAATTCTTCTTTTTTTGTTATGTTTTCAGTACATTCGTATGTAGCCTCATCTTCTCGATTTAATCTATTTTTATTAACATTCTCATCAATGAGAAATAAACAATGAAGAATTTCTTTAATTGTTAGAGCAATTTCGTTTCTTGTTGATCGTTGTAATATTGCATTTTTTTGTGTAAGTGCTTTTAGGTAAGTGTTAGGATCATCTAATTACTCTAACAAATCTTCAACATTAAAAATTCTACGTTAAATATTCTCCTACTTACTGATTTGTAGAATTTCTTACCAGTCTCACTTGATTGAGTTTTCAATTTAGAAAGTATAAATTCAAATATTTTTAAAGCATCAATTATATTGCAATCTCGCCTTCCTAATCCAAGTGAACTTACCTCAATGATTTCTAATGATTTCCTCAACCTTCTTAATTTCACAATTTGTTGGATACAAATGAGTAACTGACAAATTTATTAGTACTGATTTTATCATTTCTTTTAACTCAAATAACCGCTTTAACATTGCCAACATTGAGGTCCAGCGGGTACGTAAATTAATTATGATTGCTTTTTCCTTTCTCAGTTTTTCATGACACTCTCTTTGCAGAAAATCATTTTTTACAGGTGACTTTCTAAAAAAATGAGCTATTTTTCTAATTTTATTAATTTGAAACACAGAGTGGAACTTCTTTTGGGATACCAGTCTCGGATGAAAGCTGGAGGTCTTCATGTGTTCATACTGCACCATAAGGCACAAATCCATACTGTACTCGAGACAATCATGAAACTTATATATATAATGTATATTTATCACCCTAATAATACAAACCACATGGTGACTACTTATAAAACAAATAATTCTACTCCATTCCCAATTCTATCTATACATTACATTCACGCTAGACACTAATAACAATTTAATAGCACAACAACTTATGACTTTCCTTGACTATTGTTTATTATTCTTATTTATTTTTTACTACATTTTACTTATATCAGTTTTAAACATTTTTCCACTTTGAGGCTCTTTGTTTTACACTGGACATCTGTCCTTTTGTACTTTTTAGCCTAGTTAAGTATCTTTGTTGCAAAAATCAAGTTATTTAGAGATAGTGGGTTATTTTTTTGAATTTTTGTTGTTGTTTTGACACGGAATTACCCTTACTAAATCCAGTGTCGACGATCCGGTGTATAAAATCGGAAAAATTCTATATAAAACCTAATCCTAAAATAAAATGTCGATTAATCCTTCTAATTTTTTGATTAATCGATTAATTAATCAAATCAAAAAATAAACGATTAATCGATAACATCCCTATTTGTAACCTCAAAAAAGGAGGTGAAAAAAATGTTAAAAAAAAACAAAAAAAGTTTATGGTCAAGTATGTATTTTTGTTTAACTCTGGATAATCAAACTGTTTAAATTGTGAGTAAATTTTATAGAAAAATTTAGCCCAAGCAAAGTAATTTAGAAAAATAAACAACTTTAATAATAATGTTTGGGGAGAACCTCAATGAATGGAACGCATATTGAATGGAACAAAATCAAATTTACATACAAGCATCTAAGGTTAGTTGGATATCCAAACTCCTGTGAGAAAAAATCTTCAAAACAACAATTCAGCAGACCAAATCATTATTTCTATCATGGTTTAATTATAATGGGCCAAACATTAAGTTCTCCCCTACAGGTTTCAGATTTAATTCGCTGTCCAAACTTAGAATATAAAAATTATTAATCTAATGTGTATTTACAATTATTTAAATAAGTTCGCTGGATCGCTTAATGTAATATAACAAATTAGTTATTTTCCATTTATTATTTATTATTACGTTTTTATAAAATTACGGAGAATCTTGTTATGGCCAAGTTGAATATGAAAGGCAAAGTTCGTGGTAATATAAAGAAGTTAGCATTTGAAGATAAAAAGTTGTGCAAACCAATAATTGGTACGTTAATAAAAGTTCAATATTGTTTTTTCAATTCCCTCTTCTTTACATATGTTTTTTTTTCTTTACATATGTTTTTTATTCCTTCTTTGTTACATATGCTACTTATTCCTTCTCCTTTACATATGTTTTGTATTCTTAGATAAATATTATTCTTGAACCTTGTAGGTTAGCGTTAAAAATCAAATAATAGCGTTACAATCAATACAATCAATCGTCAAACAATAGCGTTAAAAATCAAACAATATGTCAGTTGTAAATAAAAAATATTTTTAACTGTCATTCCATTTACAGTATCCCATATTGTTTTTTAGAAGTCATTCAGCTAATGCACGAGTCTTGGACGGAAGTACAAATAAAAGATCAAATAGGAAACATTTTAAAGGTCTCTCCATTTGCTAATGATAGCAAAAAAATTTTTGACGAAGCAAGTGATTGTTAGACAATTATTTATTTTTGAGTTTTTGTAAGTTTATAATACAAAAGAATTTATAATATATCTATTAAAAAGTTCTTTAAAGATATTTTTTGTATTTTAGTTTGAATATTTCCGAAACTATTTTTCTAACCCTTTGTAAAGGGTTAAAAACCCTTATTTAAACTTTGAAAATTGATTGTGTTTTTGTTTAACATTTAATGTTAATAATACGGTTATATTCATATAATAATCATGACACGAAACCGCGTATACGGCTTCGGCTCAGGGTATATAAATATAACTGTATTAATATCAAAAAGTGTAATAATATCAAACTGTATTAATATCAAAGTTATATTAACATTAAATACTACACAAATACAATCAATATTTTACGTTAATGTAAAACACTAATGTTTTTCCAACTTATATTTACATTAGTATAACATTAATTTAACTTAAGAATTTTAAGTTAATGTAATGTTAATATCTAACATAAATCTAAAGTAAGAATTTTACGTTACAAAACCTTTCCATTTTGCCAAACCGGCAACGTTGTACTAACATAAAATCTAACGTA